TAAACATTCCAAAGCATTGTGGAAATTTGTAAATCGTGAAAGAGATTCTCTAAATAATATACTTACTAAAAATATATACTTATTAGACGGAAAACAAAAAGTTTCAAGCCCAAGTAGAACTTTTAATATATTTAATAAAACCTTTGTAGAAACTGTTAATAATCTTATACACGATAAAAATTTAATCCATCCACAAACTATTAATAACATAGTTAGCTCAAAATACTCGTTTGTTTTGCTTGAAATAACAGAGGCCGATTTGATTAAAATAATCCACAGTATGGCGAATAAAGAGTCGGCAGGACTTGATGATATCTCACCTTACTTGCTAAAAAATGTACACCTTATATTTCTATACTGCTTTTAGAATTGGTTAATGCATCAATTAGGGATGGCATTTTTCCATCTATATTAAAAAAATCGGTCGTTTCCCCTATCTATAAGGGGGGGCTAAGGAAGATGCAAGTAATTATCACCCAATCACACTTATTCCTACTTTCTCTAAGGTTTTGGAAAAAGTAATAGTTAATCAATTAAAAGCCTTCCTAGATAAACATAATACATTAAATAAATTTCAGTTTGGTTTTAGAAAAAACACTGTACTAATGATCAATCCAATTCATACCACCCCATCCTATCTCACTAAAATCCATTTTAATATTGTCCACCCACCTACGCCTTGGTCGGCTCCCCCATTCATGCTACATGCCCTGCCCACCTCATCCTCCTTGACTTGATCATTCTAATTATTCTTGGAGAAGAGTACAAGTTATGAAGCTCCTCATTATGCAGTTTTCTCCAACCTCCTCTCACTTCATCTCTCTTCGGTCTAAATATTCTCCTCAACACCCTGTTCTCAAAAACCCTAAGTTTATGTTCATCCCTTAATGTCAGAAACCAAGTTTCACACCCATACAGAACCACAGGCAAAATTATAGTTTTGTATATTCTAATTTTTATGTTTTTGGACAGCAGACGAGAAGTCAAAAGGTTCTTGACTAAATGGTAGCAAGTAGTTCCGAGTTCAATCTCCTCTTAATTCCCTTCTGAATCAGGTTTTGATCTGTTATCATTGTTCCCAAATATCTGAATTGTGCCATATTTTCAAAACATCTGTTTCCTATTTATACGTGTATATCATGATTTTGCCCTGCATTTTCGTGATGAGACAGCAGCATATGGACTTAGTTTTCTCAGAGTTTACTTCTAGACCAACCTCTTTACTATTGTCAATTAAAATTTGTGTGTAGTTCTTTATGGTATCTACATTATCACCCAGTATATTCACATCATCAGCCTAGACCAACAGCTGACGTGTCCCGTTTAATTTCAGTCTCACCTGGTTTCCCTGGACCTACCTAATGGCATATTCTAAAGCAAAGTTAAAAAGTAGTGGCAATAAAGATTCTCTTTGTTTTAGACCATTCTGGATAGGAAATTTATCAGACAAATGTTTACCTACACAGACTTTGGTATACGTTTCGTTTAAACACACTTTAATCTGCCTAACTAGTTTCATGCGTATCCCAAACTCTATGAGAATATTGTACAATACTTCCCTCCTAATTGAATCATATATTCTTTGAAATCTATGAATAGCTGATGTACTGTCTCATCATACTCCCATTTTTTCTCCAATATCTGACGAATGGAAAAGATCTGATCTCTTATGTCAAAACCCACGCTGATGATACCCAATAATTTCATCTATATATTGACTTAACCCTGGGAGGAGAATATTGGATAAAATTTTGTATGAAGTTGATAGTGATATCCCTCGGTAATTACTACAGTCAGTTTTATCACCCTTCTTGTGAACTGGTACAATAATAGACTCCTTCCACTGGTCAGGCAATTTTTCCTTATGTCAAATAGAAGAAATTAGATTGTCAATCTTAAAATGTAATCTTTCCCCTCCTGCTTGTATAAGTTCTGCCGGAATTTGATCACTACCTGTCAATTTATACAGTTTCAATTTTGCAATAGTACTTTCATCCTCAAAACGGCTAGGATATGGTACTAACGGCTCAGCTGTATGGATTTCTGTCTGCCTAACGTCACTGACCCTATGTACATTCAATAACTGAGATAAGTAGTTCCTCCACTTGTTCCAAATGTTGTCGGAATCTCCAAGCAGGTCACCATTGTCATCCATTACTAAGTTACTGCTAGGTTGGTAACCCCTCTTAAAGTCATTTATTCCTCTATACAAGTCTCTAATGTTCTTGTTCTTACTGTTCATTTCAAGCTCGTCAATTTTGTCTTTCAGATATTCCCTCTTTTTTTCATGAAATGCCAGCTGGTTTCACGTCTTATATTGTTCAGATTATCCGTATTTAACTCACTTGGATCCTGTAACCATTGCACTTTGGCCTGCTTTCTTTGATTTAATAATTTTGAGCATCCTTCATAGAACCATCTCTGTACTAGTTTCCCCAGCTTTATTAACATCCACCTCAGTTTCCAAGTTTTCCAAAGCCGCAAACATATTTGAGATAGCAACACAATACTGATCTTTACCCTCTACCTCATTTAATTTCTTGAGACTGAACCTCTCCATATGAACTCTGTGTGTTGTTTGTTTGCTCACTGCCAGTCTCCCTAACCTTTGCCACCACCAGATGGTGGTCAGTATCACAATCTGCTGCCCTGAATGATGGGACATCAAGTATACTTGAGTGCCGTCTCCTATCTATCAAAATATGGTCTATTTGATTGTGTATCTTCCCATCAGGAGATGTCCAAGTAAATTTATGGATGATACGATGTGGGAACATTGTACTTTTTTCAGTAAGATTTTTTGATGTTGCAAAGTCTATTACTCTAACTGTATTATCACTACTAATTTAATGCAAACTCTCATTCCCAAATTGTTGGTTTGAAAATGTCTTCCCTCCCTACTTTGGCACTGAAATCTCCTAACAAAATTTTCATAGGGTACTTCTGGAATTTATCAAATACACGTTCTTGTTCTTTGTAGAATCTGTCCTTTATGACGTCAATTTTATCTACTGTTGTTGCGTGAACATTCAAAACAATGTTATCACACCAGTGACCAGCTACCCTTTCACTTTTAACATCCGAAGTTCCCCGATCAGCCCAGTGATGAGTATGGTCATTGTGGCCAAAGTACCTGTTTTGGCCAGTTGGGCATTTAAACGCCTCTAGTGGAAACGCACACATACACCTCTAGTAGAAGTGCATGCATAGTCCTAAATATTTATTTTTAAATGTAGTAACTACAGGACAGACTTGAGTAAAACCATAATAGAGGAATTAAAATGATACCTAAATCAACAGTAGGAAAAAAAAAACTATACGCGTGAGTCATAACCACACTCATCCATGAGCCAGTACTTTTATTGCAGATTCTGCAGATTAATGTGTTAAAAATATATAGTAAAATTCGATGTACACACCTTTCTTGTTGTTATCTGCTTGATGTATATATAGGCTGAAATGAAACTACAGTATTCGATTTCACTATGAACGCACAGAAAACAGGTCACACTCTATATCTCAGGCATGATGCAACTGTCTGTTCATGACCCTAGAAAGGGCAATAATCTCTTGCAGCTATAACAGGTCTTCAAACTGAAGAAGGGATCCCTCTAACTTTCTCTTGAATAGCCATTCTTTCATTCTTCTGTCCTTAAGTCAAAAGATTCGAAAATCCAAAGAGTGTAAGCAGTGCTAGCAGAAGACCAACTGATTTTATTCCTTCCATCTGTTTCATGCCAACAGGGACTGCTAAAATTTGTCAAGTGTTACAAACAGAAATGACTTTCTATTGCAGAACAACTGTGTGAAGAACTGGGAAACCATTTTTGCAGTACACATCAAAATTAAAAGAAAAAACTAAAAATATAGTATAACTCTGTGTATAAAAATGTTAAAATCTTCTGTTACAATATGCGACACTATGTTCTTTGCTGATACAAACAAAGTTAATTCCATCTATTTATCATAAAAATTATGATACAGCATTTTAAAACACAATGCTTAGAATTGTTTTAGCGCCCTAACAGGAACGGATATTTAAACGCACAGTAGCAATGGTCATTTAAACACACACCAGTAGCGGGCATTTAAAGGTTAATTATACAAGTACATGGCAAATGAAGTACTGGAATAGATAAGTCATGAACAGGTACAATGACAAACAACCTTCCCCATTATGGCATAAACAGTTCCTACCTATTGAAAATTTTCTCCTACAAACAACTTACTTTACTTCATACACTCCTCTTATACTTATGGTGTCAAGATTTTCATATTGATCATTTTACAGACGGCAGGACTCCTCCGACAAGTCACCAGCTTGTCACAAGGCCTCTCCCTAAACACAGAATAAAAACATACCATTCATGCCTTCTGTGCGGTTTGAACCCATGATCCCGGCTCAAAGTGCATGCCTCAGACTGCCACGCAACCACGACTGGCTTCTACATCACCACCTTTCTTAAAGTCTTTGACAGGACTTAAATTCTTTCCTCCATGGAAAATGAGACTTCCCTAATTCAAACCAAATTAAAATTTGTACAATGACCAAAAATTATGACAGAGGAGGAGGGATTAAATTATATGCGTCAATCCTGACTTCACTGGAAAGATGTTTTCAGTCAGTTACCCTTCTACATGTAGAGAATTCAGGAGTTCAACTGAAAATTGTTGCTGCGATGCATAATGGTAGACTTTCAGAGTTGTCACATATGGGTGGCCAACATTTCCACTGAGCAAACCTACTTCCATAGTACTGCAGATGCAGAAGCATCGCAAGCTATAAATGTAGACCTGAGCATGGAAAAGGTCGAACAATACAGGACATGGGATGTGGAACTCCATGCATTCTGAACACTACAGCTTAACACCAGACTGCTTTACTTCTTCCATAGTCATCCCAAATCCAACTGACAGATAACGAGAATACACTTCCACATGCATAAAATATTACTAGGATTAACTGACAATACACAGGATGAGGATTAAATAATTACACAATACAGAGTGACTTCACACTTTGTTATGATAAAGTAAAATATCTTCCATACATCTCCTTCAGGCCATGAACAATCTGCCACAAGAATGAGGGACCATTACATCCTTATATAATGAGAGACATTTTTTCTCAAATAAGTTTTATTGTAAGAGATTTGTAACTTCACGAGCAGCTGACCATTACTATTCAAGTAACAAATTGGCTTCCCATTCTTAGTGAAATCAAGGAAAACTGAACAGTCCCACTTCATGAAGCAGTTTCTTTTCACCTGGAACATATGAAAATATACTGAATATGGGGGGCAGTCTACATTCACCTGAAGTAGTGAAGTTACTACAAGGGCACTGTCCCTTCTATAAAGCAGGATCCGAATTCAAATATATCTATGCTATCACACACTAGCATGTCATGCAGAACAGGAGAAGGGTGAAAATTTTATATTTCAACATTTCACTTTTTCATATTCTTTATGGATGTACACTGCATTTCACAACAAAAATACAAGTATTAATCGAGAACTGCACTCAGCAACAGGATATTACTGTGACAATTTGAAACATAACTTCAGAGCCCAATACCAAAATACTATTATTATACTATATACACTAAATACCAAAGATATAACCGGCCTCCTCATCACCCCTTATAGCCAGACAATACACCCCCTGAAATTCTTATTTTGGAAAACATCTTCAGTGTTTGTAAGGCACATTTGAAAATAACATAAAACAAAGAATGTTTAAAGAGACAGACTGATTAGACGTTACAAATTAAAAACTAATTCCCTGAGAAAACCCTGTTTCTGTTCAAGAATCTTCAAACTTACCGATATTCGGTACTGTATTTAAGCATCCTGTTGAATTAATATACCTCTCACACACAATGCAAACGGCCATCTTCAGCTGTCTCAGCTATGACAAAACTGTTCCACTGTAAAGTATGTCCAATTACATCACATGTAACTGCAATTATTTCATGGCTGAAAATACTGGAAGTTACAATCAATAACCCATTTACACTAGTTAAAATTCCATAAGCTGCAAATTTACACTGAAATTTAAAATTTGTTACAATTTTGTAAATTTCTTTTTACACCTCTACTACTGCCATTGACAACTTGTCTAAACAATAAATTTCATTATCACTCTCTCTGGATTTGTTATACTGTAGTTGCCTGGGTGTTTGCATTTTATTTCTGTGTGCATAAGCCCACCGTATCGGTTATCATTTTCCACCTAGCACGTCGTGTTGTCTTCCCTTGCATGTGGATGTTACGCATAACATACAGTCTAGAGGAAGGACAATAACCACAACAGGCTTGAGCAAAAGAACAGGATTCATACTTCAATTCACAGAAAAATTTCCAGTCTTCTAAGATTTGGAAGAAACTTGTTCGCATGTCAATTTAACGCAGTACCAATACTGATTATTTTATATACCTGCAGATCACATCATCGACTCCAGAATGCAGGAAAGTTGTCCTTGTGCTTGCTTAAGCACCACACCAAATCTAAGGGCAGTAGTCAGCTTCATGCACCAGTCATGTCAATGTATACATTCCAGAGTGTTACGGCTCCCAGAGAACATGCAGACCTCATCATAAGGATTATAAACAAGCCATTATTTTCCATACACATGACTAGGCCCCTTATTACAAACACAACAGCTTTCAAATAAGAGTACTTACTCTTCTCCAGCTGCCTTACTCCATACCGAGTCGTCAGGTCCGATGCAGCACCAACCGACTCAATGCTGGCCACCTGTGGCCTAACTAGAAGAAAGCTGAGCAACAGAAAAACTCAGAGAGCACCTGCCTTTTCAACATCAGCAATTATGATTAGGAATCTCACAAATCACAATAACACCACTTCTAAAACTTCTATTTAAAACAGGTACGATAACACACTTATGCAAAAAGCCGCATCCCAGGAACACACTTCAATTTACCTCTTGTACAAGTGTAATCTTGCTGTCAGGCCTTTCCTCACCAATTTACAGGAGAAATGTTCAATACATATATTTCTAACAATCCAGTCCTCTACTGCCTTCAGAATGCAGACTTACACTTGAAATACAACAAACACAGCACCACAGATGAAGTGATACTGCGACTTGGCTGCTTGCTCAATGCGTGTCAAATGACGTCACTTCCACAACATATTGAAAATGACACCGCAGATCTCCAATATACTGTACATGGTGCCAATATTTCTCTTTTCATTTTGCAGACCAAGAGCTGTTTTATCTGTAGATTTGCTACTCCAAAGCCTGTAGAAAACAAAAATAAAACCTTTTCCCATCCAAACAACAGGTGTAAACCTGATAATGGAAATAAAATTCAGTGAACTCAAATATATACATAAAAATCACAAGTTCTCTAGAATTACAACAAAACACTAAACCTAAACAGGGTTGGCAAAAATTATTTCTTAACATGCAACAGCCTTGCATGTTATAAAACAAATCTGGGACCCTCAATCTCTCACAACCCTATGGGCCTTCATGGCCTGTTACAGGGGATAGGTTTACTTTTTTACTTTTACACTGACTGCACCATGTAGCTTCAGTCAGATCTGCAGGGAAAAGGAAACCAATATCTCCAGCCCCTCTCCCATCCCAACTATGAATCCAGATTTCCAATAAATCAACTGATTATTATACCGGAAACAACCTAAAAAAAAAAGGCAGATGGCCAAAAACCCAGAGGCACAAACTTTAGAACACCATAAGGTCATGCACCTAGAGCAGCCAATGTCTCGTGCATTATTCATACACACAAATGACTAAACATCACCATGTGAGAAAGAAATCTGGCTGATCAAGTTTCAATCCATATTCTACTATTCAAAACCAGTTCTAAAGCAGAGAGTATAGGAACTGATTGCAATTCTTAGTGATAAACACTACCAAGTATTCCTAGTTCTTACTCAACTAGACCAACACACAACAGTGCCATCGCAGAATGGACTACATTTCAACTCATACACACTATGGAGGGATCATGTTCTGCACATCCTCATTCAGCACACAGCTTCTGATCCAAGCGCAGGAAACTTGGCGCTGCGTCAGCAAGAGGCAGACGGAACGAAGAAGCATCCGATGCACCACAGCATACCTACGCAGAATCCAATTTCCCTTCTCCCTCACCATATAACACATGGGAAAATCCAGTACCTTCAAACTTTAGTGAAAATACTGAAACAAAAGCAGCCAACATTAGCTACACGATACCCCAACAAGTCAGCCAAGCATTTTAGAAGCCTCATATTTTCTAAGCCACAGTAATTTTGGAGTTAATTTATAAACAACGATTAACTAAAGACTGACTGCTAATAATAAACAGAACTGCAACACTTCAAGGTATTCAACTGACATATGTCAAGACCTGTTTGTCAACTGTCAAAAATATTAACCCAATCATTCCAAATATCATCATTTAGTATTCCAGAAATTTCCTTCAGAATAATTCCTAAGTTTTCAGTAATCTGTGATCTTAGTTCCTGGTTCACCTCGATATTAATGCCTGCTGAATGATACAAGATACTGCCTTCATGTTCCACTATTCTCGAGACATGGCCAATGTCTGGCTTTAAACTGGACGATACCAGTGGAGACAATGCACCTTGCCCCATGACAGGGATTCATCTTGAAACGTTCCAGTAATATAATCATCATCACTTAATGTACACGCGCGTGTGCGCTTTTCTACTCAATCCATTACAAAAGGTGCACCTTGTGTTTTCTGTGATCTTTTGCAGTGACCAAGTACCAACACACCTGCAAAAAAAAAAATGCCCAACTACTACCCTCAGGTATGAAGCAACGTCTAGTGATATAGTGCACAATCATAACATGAATTTCTCAGATTCTGTAATAATATAATCACCATGAGACAATGCTAATATTAAAGTGAAATAATCTCAAAATGTTAAAAAACTGTAATTACCTACATACAGCTTACCATAAAAAAGTTATGAAGACTTTCAAACAACTTGCAACAAAATGGCCTCCAGAAAAAAAAAAAAAAATAAAAGAGCTGTGCTCTCTTCCAACGTCTCAGGGTTACAGAATGGCATTCTCTATCATGCACAAGTTTCATATCTCTTGCAGAATGGCAGAGCTGAAAATAGGAAAAATGCATGCAACATATCGAGTATTATCATCCAAGTATAGGTATCTCACAGAGACCTAATTTCTCTGCCTCAATCGTCAAAACCACTTCCCCCAACTTTTGCTCCTTCCAAATATAACAATTTGCTCAACTGATTCTATACTGTCTTCCCTAAAACAATCAGTATAAAACTTCAAGAGCTGGGGAGATACCTGTACATCATAACATTCCAAAACTACAGACAGAAAGTTCTGTGTCACACATAATGACTTACAAGTGCTGGCAATTCTTACGGCTCTAAGACATTAAGATTAGTTTCTCTATTGAACCTCCTGCAGAAACAGATGGCTTCAAGTAGGCGAACAACTTTCAGCATCCAGAGCCTGATCAGAGAACACACAACATCCCTTATCAGCAAATGCCATAGATTCCTGAGTAGGATAAGGGCACAAATCTGCACACGTCACCATTGCTGAGCTGTAAGAGTATAAAACAAAACTTTCCTTCCACACAAGCAAGCAATTTGAGAAGGTAACAAAACAAAATATTGGGAAGGTAACAAAAGAAAATATTAAAACAATTATCTTTGAAGAATCTTAAAAATATGAGTTCAAGTGTGTCAGTGTGTGGAGATAAATATATAGTTCAAAACAAGTGGACGACAACCCTTACGATGTGGAACAGAATTTCACAAAAGTAATGAAAAATTTTAATAGGAAATTTACTGGATTTTATTATATTAAGTGTGATTTTAGTGCATATTAATGCAGTGTAGCAGTTTTAATATATTAAGACACCTGAAGATGGCCATCTAGGGCCGAAACATGTTGTGTTAAAAGTTTAAGTGGAAGAAAAGGGGAAAATTTCTTGTATCATTGATGGACTGCATTATACACAAATGTTTTACTATCTGGTTCATTCCCAAAGAGCCATTACAAGCACCACTTGAAAAATTTCTACCTTTAGTTTCATGTATTGGCATGCCATTCCACTGTCTGGGAACATATTAAAGGCTTCCTATGCTATGCACATGAAAGACATAACCTTACAAACTTACGCAAGAAAACTTGTTACCAAAGAAGTGATGCTACTAACAGCAAACTCTGCTGCTAATCCCTTCCACTATTCCACTTCCTGTTACCAGCAGCAATTCTACAATCCAATCAAGGCTGCAAGGGAACTTCCATACAAACGCACTGTTCAGGTTCAAGGGGCTGAACACCTGTATCCACTAGGAAGCCAATATCTGCATGAAATGAAAAAAGAAACTACTCTGCCCACAACCAGCAAACCTTGTTCAAGGCAAGTATTGCAAATACCAGCTTCACTCTACTAAGGAGAAAATTAATTAAAACAAACAATAATGAACTTTACACAGATCCATTGAGAATAAGCACGGCACTGAACACTAAATTAAAATTGTAATACCCAACACATAAAAACTTCACACACAAAAACTCTGATAGATAAATGTACACATTATATACACATATGCAAACGGAGAGGACTTATACAATAACAACAAAGCAACCATATAAGACAGCAGTTTCCTTGACCAATATTATTAATGCCAGACCATATTGGTTGAAAACATGTAGTGATGGATCTTTAAAATTTTTAAGTGAGTAACTTTTAATAAATTTTATACAACATAGTGTTGCATGTGACACTATAAGGAACTGACATCAGAAATCCAACTAAGGAAACTCATCAATACACATGTGTGACTGCATACCAGGAACTGACTTTGAGATAACAATGTCCAACAACTAAAACTTGGTATGATGAAATACTGTCTGAAAAGTCATGCTGTTACCCTTGCTTGAAAAAAAAACTGTATTTCTTAAATGCACAGGCTACCATGCCGAATTATCTATAGTGTAAGTACTGTAGATTAAAAGGTTACAACGCTGACTTCTCCCTCGGTTCACTCTTATCATGGCTTGCCACCTCGGCCCAAACGTCAACGATATGCAGACATGCCATTTCAAACCGGGCGACTGAAATTAAAAATAAAATACCTGTATAATATCGGAGTCAAGAAAGTACTTCGAAAGTAAGAGAACATGCTTAATTTTTCTACAGGATTCTTTCCTTAATTCAGCAGACATACCAACCTATTCAAACTGCTTACATCTTAGCGTTATTTCATCCCATTGGTTTAATAGTTTATCACTAGAGTGGCAATGCACACGTTATTACAATCAGATTTACTTACTTCCTATTCGAAAAGCTCTCGCACTTTCATTCTCAAAAGGGATTTTGCTTCCTTCAGTGTACAGGTTAAAATGGCCTGCACCCTTAAATCTTTCTTCCTGCCTCTTCTAAAAAAATCTCCTCTTGTCTTTCAAGTCACTTATCCAGGCCGAAAGGCCATCTATTTGATCTTCAACTGGAAGACGGTTGAAGGCGTTGAAGGCGACCTCTAAAGCATCCATCGTAGCTCGTGATAAAAGTCTAAATAACTCACACAACGTACACATCTAACTCAACTCAGCTTCTTTCAAAATGGCGTCTATCTTGCTCAGTACCGGTCAGCACGTCTACTTCCCAGTCTCGTGTTCCTACGCCAAGGAAGAAAGAACCTAATCATTTTAATTATGTCGATTCATATATCAATACATGCAACCTGTAATAATTTCCTCCCTTGTTATGGCTTATAGTTCTGTTTTCTGAGACCACAAGATAATGTAAAAGAAAAGTGTGAATTAAATCATTATGCATACGAAACCTTTTGTTTAGCGGATTAATAACCAACTTCTAGAATTAAAAGAACAACGTGTAGAGGTCGTAATGGACGTAGTCAGGTGATTGAAACTGTCATAGGGGAAGGGGAAAACGGTAACTACTCCCGCTAGAATGACGTAAGATACTACACATACATCTCGACCAATCAGAGAGGCTAAACAAACCAATTTGAATTCCCGCATTTATATTAAAATTTTTTATATTAAATTTTTCTAATATTAATTTGAAGAAGTTCTGTATTGAACAAGACATTGAAGCATGTGCTGTTAAAATAAATCTATTAGATACCATCTTATACATACTATCTGTTTATAGATCTCCAAATGGAAACTTTAGGCAGTTTCTAAAGGGTATAGATAACATTCTAAATTATTTAAATAAACCAAATAAAGAAATTATTATGTGTGGTGATATAAATGTTAATTATCTGTCTGAAAATTGTAATAAGAGACAGCAATTGGATAATTTACTTGCAACTTATAACTTAACTAACACGATAAATTTCCCTACAAGAAGTACAAAGGACTGCGCATCAGCAATTGATAATATCTATATTGATATAACCCATTTTGAGGGTTATACTGTCATTCCAGTTGTAAACGGCTTATCAGATCATGATGCCCAGGTAATTAAGTTAGAAAATATACTAATGAGTAAAAAAATGAAGTTAAAACTATGAGAAATATTGATAAATACTCTATAAACGATTTTAAATTTAAATTGAGTTATGAGACCTGGGATGATATATTTAATGAAAATGATGTAAACAAAATGTTTAATAATTTCCATAATACGTATTTAAGGATTTTTTATTCATGCTTCTTAAAGAAGAAAATTATTGTAAACAAGAAAGAGAATAGTTGGATGACTAGAGGAATAAAAATTTCACTTAATCATAAGCGTGAGCTATATTTGAATATTAAATATAATGATGATCAGGCATTAAAAGATTTCTATAAACGTTATTGTAAAATTCTATCAAGAGTTATTAAGTAGGCTAAGAAATATCAATACAATAAAAAGATATTAACCTCCAGCAATAGGATCAAAACTATCTGGAATATTGTCAAAACAGAAACAGCTAGAGAAACAAAAAAAGAAGGAGTATTATTAATAAATCATAACGGTCTGCAAATAGATGATCAGCACATAATATCAAGTATTTTTAATAAATATTTTTCGTCAATAGCTGACGAAATAATAGTTCTAAATATAAATGAGACAACTGCTGTAAATAGTCTTCAAAATACAGAACGAGCCTATCCTAGGATTAAATTTGTAAATACATCAACCCAGGAGATTCGTAAGATTATAAAATCATTAAAAACAAAAAATTCCCATGGGTACGATGAAATTTCAGTTAAAATTTTGAAATGGAGTTCCCCGTATATAGTCTCCCCACTAACTTATATATGTAATAAATGCCTTGAAAAAGGTATTTTTCCATCCAGATTAAAATACTCAAATGTGAAACCTATTTATAAATCAGGAGATAAACGAAATTTAGCAAACCTCAGACCAATATCTTTGTTAATATCCTCTTCTAAAGTTGTTGAGAAAGTTATTTACTTAAGAATTCACCAACATGTGGTTCAAAATCAAATATTGGCAAAGGAGCAATATGGTTTCAGAAGTGAATCTTCTACTGATAAAGCAGCTTATACATTAACACATGATATATTAACTGCTTTTAATAATAAACAGATTGTGGGAGGTATCTGCTGCGATTTAAAGAAGGCCTTTGACGTAGTAAAT